TTCCTGTTGACAAAGGCCTAAAAATCGGATCAGGTTCTGATGTATTTCATCTCTCATCTGAAAGTAGATATACAACAACAGACGAATGGAAACAGGGGTCAAAGTTCAGTATTGTCACATATATATAGGTTCGAAAATTGGCCATTGTTAAGGGTCCATATGTGTTGTATGTCTAAATACAATTTATTTCTAAAATATTACTTACCTTATAACATGTTATCACGGTCTGGTTTCTAGAGTTATTATAACCAATCACCATCAAGAACATATTAATATTCAATGCATTCTAACAATATACCATCTTTTCACAGAATTTCGATAAACTTCATGAAAAAAAAAAAAATTGAAAAGATCTTAAGTCAAATATAAAAATAAATTATATTGAAAGTGAAAATTTAAATTGCATAGTTTGAGCACCCCCACGGGCATATTATTACATTTACATGGTACATAATGCAAGGTAATCCAAAGAGGTAAGACTGTATAGAATTGAGGACAAGAAGGAACCGAATGTAACAACTCTTACAGGTCCTAATCAACAAAATTATAACCAGAAAACAGGCAATACCAGAAACAATAATTCCCAATCCAACTTTTCAAGAAATTTGTTTATACAAAAATCATTTTTACTTATTGAGTGTTTTCCATGAATTAAAAATTAAAAATTGATATTCAGTTAACTACATGCACCTGAAATATAAAATAAGTTTATGGAAAATATAAATGTCACAGTAATAATAATTATTTCAAACTGAATTTCAATAATAATTGATGCAAACGTTATGTAATTTGAAGAACATTAAATAGGTTTTATTCATATTGACAACTGAATACTAAGGTAGCAGTGAGACAAAGAATGCTATAAGAGGATCTTTATTCTCTAAACGTTTCGAGTACAAGTCTTCTTTGGGAGATTGTAACACATTAACAGACTAATGAGACACACAACCACAGAGGTGGTAACGAAAACAGGAATAAGAATAGGAGAGATGGTAGACAGCGGCATAGTATACTGAATTCTATGTGGTGGATGCAGTAAAGTCTACATAAGTGAAACTGGCAGAGGTCTGACAACCGGAGTAAATGAGCATAAAGCAGATGTCAGAAGACACAATACAACCAAGGCAGTAGTAGCACATGCAGAGAAAGCAGGACACCTGCTTAAATGGAAGAAAACTAAAATTATCAGCAAAGGGATGAAAAGCAACAAAGGAAAGCTGCTTACATCTTATTAGAAAAGAACATAAGCACAACCGACTACAAGTGGGTAGAAACAGTAGTGAGACGAGAACAGGATGCTGATTGGTCAGCAGTGAGTCTAGTGAGACGAGAACAGAATGATGATTGGTCGGGTGGTGGTCGTCAGATGACGATAATGAACCAATCAAGGAGCAGCAACGAGGATCCTAATCGGGGAAAATTCATATATATATCTTTGTAAGGCTCTCGAGATTTCCAATAACTCAACTATCCATACAGTTTGCCGTATCATGTCTAAGGAAAGGATCACTCTCACAATCTTTATAAGTATTAACCATATCTCAACTAACAGCGGACTTCATCCTTACACACAGCTGCTCTCTAGAATTCCACCAGTTTAATGCAGAAAAACCATACCGAAAGCCTCACCCACCCCATACCCTAATCAGTATACCCCTCAGATTCCCTCCTCGCCACTCCACAACAACACCCAGCGCCTACAAGAATTCCGTAACTTACAGTTTGAGACTACCAACAATTAAGAACAAACAAACCAACGACGACTCCTACAACTAAAAAACCACAGAAATATCTATAAAACGAGCAAGATCCACCTTCCGCCCCTCCTCGTCAAGTTCACCCAGTGCTTTATTTATAGACACCCCCGCCGATTCTCCCTCACAGCCATATGACCTATTCGATGTACCCTTCTTCATCTTCCACCCAACTACCAATAACCCAGAAGATTTGGCCCCGACCAGTCCTCCTTCTCAACTGGAACAACTTCCTAGCTAACATCCGAAGTATTACGAAAGATTCCACGTTATATCCTACAGTCTCGCCTATCATTCTGCCTCTTCTTATTTCATCTCGTTAACCGGATACTAGTAATGGATTGGCGCCTTACCATTGAAGGTATTTTTTTCGTGATTCTCCCGTCTCACCCCATCAAATTCTTGGCATAGAATTTTTATATCCCCGCCGCCCTGAAGGAACTTAAGTCCTAAATCGGCTGTTTATTTGAATGAAATTTTCTCTGCTATACACTCGCACCCAAACCCATTTTTTATTATTCACCCAATCACTTAATCCCTTTCTACTTCCTAATACCAAGTCCATTTCACTTCCTAGTCCTCGATCGGGGCGAGTAGGATTGATTAATCTTAGACCATCCCCAATGTTTAATTATTTTATGATTAATTTCATCGAAATGTCTGTCAGACGAAGACAGTATCACACTTTCCTGGAGAAGACTTGTAGAATAGACGTTGAGAGAATAAAGTTCCTGTTATAGCACTACCTTAGTATTACATTAGTTAATGAAAAGCTAAATAAGTATTCATTATATTATAAGAAAAAAAAACTGTTTCAGCAACAAAGTTAACTATTGTTTGTTTTATTAAAACTGGTATATGTCTTAGCAACAATGATAAATTATTGCTTGTCTTATTAATACTGGTATATACTTTTCAACAACAAGGATAAGCTATTGTTTGTCTTATTAAAACTGGTATATATATGTTTCAGCAACAAGGGTAAAATATTGCTTGCTTTATTAAAATTGCTATACCTTTGAACTGTGTTTCACTGCGAAATTATAGACGCATATATAACTTTCACATACACTAACGTGTCATTTTAAAAAAACTGTTTTCTACCATTTTAATTCTTTACAAGACCTCGTAATTCGTGATAGAATTACCCAAAGGGAAAACTCATGTTTTATGTGTATTATCCATATTAGTAAATTATTGATAATAAAAAAAGAACTTAAACTGAAAACAAACGTTTTTTACCTGTCGGATTTCCAGTAACAGAAGTCGCGTCAGTCTTATCTGTGGTATATTCATCTTCTTCAGTGCCACTTTCATGCTCTAATCAGTAGAATATTGAATTTACAGTTCTCTCATGAATAAAGAGTTTTCTAATTCTATTTTTGGCATTTGGAAAAAAATACAAATGGTTATAATTATTAATGTAATTTGACAAACTAAACGTAATAAAAAAAACTGGAAAACCATCCATTTACCACTATATGGATAAATACATAAGATTAATGAATCTAACGAAACTGACAAAAGTGTAACATTTGTGAGGCTTTGAGTGTGGAAAACGGTGGCTCAATGGAACGTCTGAAGACTCATAATGAATGCTAGAAAGCTGATTTTGAAATCCGCAGGGGGCATAGCACAGCCAGATAGCTCATTGTGTAACTTTATGCTTAACACCAAACAATAACTGTAGAAACAACCAAATCAAAGCAGTATTGTAAAAAGCTACACATATCTAGATCTATACAGATACTCCTTTCGAAAGAATATGTTACAAGGTATCAAAAACAAAATGATCTTTATAGCAGTGCATCGAAGTCTAGTCATTCGGTAACGAAGCCATTTTGCCTTGTATTCTTATACAACTTACGTAGATGCAGACGAAGCAAGCATTCCACTCAAACTTATTACACACGTAAAAACACTTTACTAAACGACATTTTGAAACGAACTCAAAACATAAATTATATTGAATGAAATATATATTTAAAACTCGCTCTAAACATATAAATATTCTATTAAACATGCATTCAAAACATATTAGAAACGTGTGCAAAACAAGGTGTTTGCACAAAACGTAAAAAATACTGTACAATGCAAGCATTTAAAACTGCCTCCAAGCATATGAGCACTGTAGGAATGAAACGTTCTAAATTGACTCCAAAGCTAAAGTACTGTACTAAATATTCGTTCAAAACATATGAAAGTTACTTCAAACATAAAAACGTACAAAGCAAGCATTCGAAGCTGTTTCCAGACGTAAGAACATTATATGTAATAAACTTTCGGAATCCACCCTAAACATAGAAACACTGTACGACACAAGCATTTTTTTAGATATATAGAGAGCGTATGAAATAATAATTGGAAATTTACTTCAAGCATAAAAATAGTAAAAGAAACAAGCACTCCAAAGCCTACTGAAAACATGTGTAATATAGTAGGTTCATCGCTTTTTATAAGAATGACGTTTCAAGTACATTGTCAAAGTATCTACTGTGCAGAGATACAAGCTTTCAATATGACGTTTCAACAAACCAACAGCAAACCGGAAGATTCTTGATAGATATATAAAACGACTACTGTGATTCCAGTTTCTTCTGGAAACAGTTGCTGATTTTGAGATGAGACTTGAAACTTGTAAGCCTTCGTCAACTTAAAAGTTTTAGTTTTTCATACTGTTAATCACGTATCGGGTTAGATAGTTTTCCTTCCTCATCATTATCTCCAGTTTGTGGTTGAGGGAGTTGCTTAGAGTAGGGTTTCGGAGCCAATTGCTATTCTAAACGTTATCCTGAGCGAGATCCCACTGATTATACTGGGAACATTGAATTTTTCTTTCAATGAAATCATGGTCCCTTCGGTTTTACACTTTTGGAAGTTTGCCAAAAATTAAATATATATAAATGTCAAACACGTCGCCAGGGGCGCTGCAGTTCCTTTTTGCGGTAACACGCATATTAGCATATCCAATTTATTTTTACGAAGATAATTACACGCAAAAGAATCTATACTTTTGTAGACCTATTAACACAAAAGTGAGTGGTTACAAAATGATTTGAATCTTTTTAAAAACTGTTTATTTTTAAGATAACGAACCGTGGAAAACATATGGAGCCTAATATTATTGATAACTCATGCCTTAATTAGTTCACAAGTCCAATAGATGATTTATAAAAAAGGTAAATAAAATTATTATGCTCATCTTAAAATGCATAACTCCAAACTTCCAATAGAATGCACACTCACTTTGTATGTTGCAAGTGAAATCTTAAATGTTAATCCAGCTTCATGACCCTCAGAAATTCGTCTCTAAAAAAAGAAAGAAAAATATATTTGTGGCAAAAAATGACTTAGAACAAGGTTTAAAGAAACAATGTAATGTTTTTATGTCTAATGGTCCTAAAAACAAATAACACAATAACCATAAATAATTTATAATTTTACTTTATTTCAATAACTGTTTAAAGATCCCAAGTTGATTCCAGGCACAGATGTGATTTATCTTGTCTGAAAATTTCAAGTGCTCTATACAGTGGGGTAAATATGTCCCCGCAATTGCGAGGGGGACTGATCCAAATGAGGGCCCGAATGATCTGACGACAAGGGGAAAGACACACAATTTAACTTGTTTGCACTATTTTGTTAAGTTAATGATATATAGGGACCCAAGTATTTTTTATGCGGTGGGAAGTCATCTTTTGTAGCTAAGCTACTAGTCCTATATGTACTTTTATCATAGAAATCCAGTTCTTTGTTAAACCTTCTGTAAGTCTTAATCATACTTCTATTCAGTTCAAAGATCGTTTTTTTTAAGAATCTTTAATATATCCAAAGTCGACTTCAGAGTCAAATATTGTATATTTTTGTAAATTATTTTTTTCATCATCAATGAAACTCTTTCTTCTACTCGTAAATTGTTGTTTGATTACCTATTATTATATTAGCATAATGTGATTCCTTACTCAAGTACCTATTATTATACTTTCAGTGTTTTAATTTACATGTTGGCTAGAGATCGCATACCTTAAAATTAGTCCTAGAATATCAACGACATTCGGAAATATAGCGATCGAGAAATTTTGTAAAATGTCTAGAAACAAGGCTACTTTGTAAGTACCAGAACTGGCGAGTAGTGGGTTAGCCAATTTTAATCGAGGGAAATATTTAATTTTAGCGAAGTATTTGGATCATGTTACTTATCGCATATTTTCAGTTTATCAAAGGATGAGTCGTGATATTATACAAGTACGTTTATTGTTTTATGTTAGTCGAGGTTTTTAACTTGAGTGTCTTTTTCAAACTGTACAAGTGTAGGTAGCTTGTAGAAACGAAAGATGAAATAAACTAATTGGTTTTCGATAAGATGACTGGATTTCGAACAATTTTCAACAAATAATTTAAAAGAATTCACCCTATAAAAGGACAACGTTACAACAATATTGTTGCGTCAGCGAAGTCACATGACTAGTGTCACCCCACGTTTCTAGAACTATCCTGTACCTTGGCGAATGCTCTAGCGTTTGCTAGATATGGGATAGCCTGGTATATAAAAGAGGGTGACAACGTGACGGGAATAATATGTGGGTAGATAGTGAGTAATTGAACTGCAGTCAGAAGTATTGTTGACGTTCGTTGATATAGCGTTTGTTATAGAGCGACTGTGTATCGTGAAGTTGTATTCGGAAAGAATAAACCAGTTTTATTAAGTAAGGACTTGTGTCGCTAAAGTTTCGTCGGAACGAAGTTACGGAAAGTTAATTAACGAACGGAGACGTAACAAATTGGTGTCAGAAGTGGGATAGAAAAAAAAAGAGAAGAAGATGGAAACGAGAGGCGGAAAATCAAACTACAGCTTAGCAGATTTGATGGCAGCAATACAAAAACAAGAAAAGAAAGAAGAAGATTGAGAAGAGAAATTACA